ATCCAATCAAAGACTACAAATGATGATTTCTTTCCTCATCTACTCAACCACCATCCGTACCATCTCCTTATCCTATATTCTCCTACACACTTATTAATACAAATTTTTAATACACATTTTTTTCATAAAAAAGTCAAAAAGTTAACCCAAACATCCATATTTTTTTTCTCAACTTTCTAGTCCAAAAAAATAAAAAGTGCATTTATTTAGGACACCCCAAACAATCCCTAAATGCTGCAAGGAAACTCATTAATGTCTGATGTGTGGTGCAATAACTTTGCAGGATCTTTGTCTGCTGATGTGGTTGGTTTTCCCCTGCCACGTGCTTGGATGTCATTGGTCTTTAATGCCACGTTGAGCTCCAGCAGTGTTGGGCTTTAGTGTTTGAGTTATGTATTGGATTCTGAGTGATGGGCCAAAAGCCCCTATAAGCCCACCTATGTCAAATTTTAAGTAATTTTTTTACTTTTTTACATGCATATTATTTAGATGTATGTCAACAATAAAATATTTGTAAAAAAATATTTTAAAAAATTAGTAAATATACAAAAATATGAAAATTTATATTTTTTGGTATTTTGTATATTTTTTAATGATTTTTTCACAAATATTATACTTTTTAAATGTATTTATGTTGGGTGTGTCTATTTTTTTTTAAATGTTTAAAATATTTTAAAAAAATCATTGAAAACGTTAAAATACAAAAAATAAAAAGTAGAATTTTCTAAAAATTATTTTTTCTGAAAATCATAACCAAACAAGCTGATTATTTCTCATATTTTTCACATATTTTCATAAAAAAAATATAATTATTTATATCATCTCAAACACTCTCTATGTTATAACTAAGGCCTCGTGTCCAAATTCTGAAAGCACCGTGGAGAGGACGAATCTGTCTTAAGGACATAGTGTCAAACACTGGACTTGATCAGATTATAATTCGAACAAATTAAATCAAGTAAGTTATTTAATTTATTTTCAGTGTTGTTTTTATTTATTTAAATCAGATTTTAATTTTGTTTTTGTAACAAAATAAAATCTGTTTTTATTTATTTATTTTTATTTCGATTTTGATTTTTATAATCAAACAAATTCTCTCATTTCCTTTATTTCTTTATATTCTGGTTGTTGTTCAGTACACAACAGAATTTAATTTATTTAAATAGAGTGAAGATTGTCCTACATAAATTACATTGCTTAAAATACAAATTATCTTATATGGTTTTGAAAATTATATCATGTCCATTGGATTTTTTAATTTCATAACAAGTAGTCCCTTTTATTACTAAATCATCAAATCAATTAACAATTTTTAATGATACCATAAATATATTTTAATTAATAATTTAAGTAATTTTATTATTGTATAGAAAATTAGTTAGAAATTTTATTTTTTTAATAATTTTGTTAAATAAAAATTTTCAAACCACAAGAGACAATTTGTACTTTAAACAAATCTCATGAATATATTTATAATTTACACGTATATATTACAAAGAATGAAAATAAATAGACAAATTAAAAAAAAAAATTGAAAAACATAGTACACGAAGAAATAACACTCAAAAAGAAAAACATATGAATTGTTACCCTAAAATTTAAGAATAAAAACAATCGAGCTGCAGGCGGAGGCGGAGGCGGAGGCAACGGCGGGGCTGCGGCGAGCTACGACGACGACTGAGACGAGATCGGGCGGAGGCGACGGCGGGCGGGGCTGCAACGACGAGCTGCCATCTCCTCTTCCCCTCTCTTCTCTTTCTCTCTCTCTCTCTCTCTTTCTCTTCTAAATTTTGGGTTGTTCGAGGGGGGGAAATTTCGGGAAAAAAATCATTTCTCTTTTATTAAAAGACTTCTGATTTGTTTTGTACAAGTTATGAATGACAAAGTTATAGCACTTTTAATGAATAGAAGTTTGTTAACTATTATAGTTAATTCTGCCTCCGTTTGGAAAGTAGGTTGACTTTTTGACTTTTTAACTTTTTTGACCTGGGGCTAAAAAGCTTGATTTAGGAAAGACTTTTTGGTTTTTTGACTTTTTTGATTTTTTTTATGAGAGAGGAGTGTAATGATTATGGGTTAAATTTGATACTTTGTTTTTTGTTACTAAAATAGTCTATTTTGTTTTTTATGGCTATTTTAGCCCCTAACCCACCAAAACCAACTTCCCAAACTAAGCCTTTGTCTTATTTTACTTCATTTGACGGGTTAGTTAATACAATTGTTATTTTAACAAAATTATTTCAAACTAGTCACATTTGAAAAAATTTGAGAGACTTTAAATATTTTGTGTGAATATATAAGTAAAACAAATAGTAGAGTTTGGAATATATAGACAAAAAAATAATTAAATAAAATGAAAAATATTATATATACATATATTAGCTAATAAAAAATGATGTATATAATTGAAGTTACTCTCATGTGTGTATTCTTTAATTATGAATGACATAATTATATTTTTTGTAATAAATAAAAAAATTATACATTGTTGCAAGACAACCCTTCTTGATTTGTCGGAAGACGGTTGGAGAATCGGGAGCAATTTGAAAATTTGATAAAAAACCAACTTTTTAGCCTTTTATCAAGTTTTCTTAAAAAAATCACTAAAAAAAGTCAAAAAAAATGACCTTTTAACCAACTTCACAATATATACAATAATACACAAAATTTACTTAGATGGACCTAAAAGTAAAAATAAAAAAAAAAATTAAACAGCTTTGAAAAAAGTCCATTAAAACTAAAAAAAAAAATGTTTTTTTTATGAATTTCCTCCCCACCTATATTACCCTTTAAAATTTACAAATTTGACAAAAAAAATGCAGCCCATCATTCTGTCTGTATACAAATTTTGTTGGAACACCGTTAAATCTTCCAAATCAAAAAACAAGTAACACTTGTCTTAATCATTGTCAGTCGTTTTGCAAAATATAGAAAATATATTATATCCATAATGGATTTTTATCAAATTTTCTTACTATCAAAATAAAATAATAAGCTATGCAAATTAGAATTTCCACGTTGCTGATAGAAACAATACAGTAAAATACTTCTCATAGAAGCATATAAGCATTCTACAATCACCCATTTTGCCAAAATTTAACTATGAAATAATAGAATAAAAATTTCATTGATGTTTCCTGCTTCCCATTAAAAAGATTATCAATCAAAAACTCTGCATCAAAATTTTAAAGACTTTCCAACAAAATGAGATTATGCAAGTCTTACACCAGAAAAAGAAAGCTCATGTAACAACAGATCAAGCCTCAGTTACTGGATATTCGAAGACAACATCTTTACCAGAAAGCTTCCGGTACACTCCAGTAAATGTCTCAAGCTTGTACTCGGTGTCGTTGCGTGCCTTGGGATCCAAAAATATCTGTCACAAAGTATAGGACATTGTCGTCACAGAAGTATGCACATAATTGTAGGGGACACCCAAAGAACAAACAGAAACGAACAATTTTCTTGCCACCATATAAAGCTTGCAATTAATTTGACTGTCTTCTCTTTTTTTTACATTGAATAATTACCTTGATTATCTTTGACCCGTCAATCCTGTATCTGATGCGCTTTCCAACAATCTCAGCAGGATACACAACATCCTCAAGCATGGCATCATGCACAGATGTAAGTGTGCGGGACCGTGGTCTCTGAACAGCAGAGCCTTTCTTTGGTGGCCGCATTATTCTTCGGGTGGCAATGAGAACGACATCCTGACAACATCCAATAATGACTGTACGATTAAATAACATTCAGAATAGCCTGGAAGAAATGGTCTACCAATAAGCAAAACATTGATGATGTAGGCTTCTAGCTGGTAATTACATGTCAGTGAATGAATCTTGATTGGCCGTTTCAACAACAAACTAGTTTAAAACAAGGACAAAACAGAGAAAACAAATACTTGAATCAAACAAAAACACTCAAATTCAGTATCCAGATCCCACAAAATTCATTCATCCAAAGTCTCACTACATGAATACTAGAGATGGACTACTCAACGCGTGATAAGTTCTAACTGAATTGATTGAGCAATGCTTTTTTGTAAGTTAAATTGATAAAACACACAAAGATCATCTTGATTTGTTGACTTTAAAATTCCATTTCAATGATTCATAATTCATCTAAGTGACACGGTTGGAAAAAAATTCTCAAACAAAGATTAGAAAAATCAGATTTTATAATAATCTTCTTTTAATGCTTTCAGCAAAGCAATTAAAGTAGGACCCATAAAGGACCTGATATATCCAGATGATGATTGGGAACAATTTTCTAGGAAGTTGAAATTGTTGAGTAGATAAGAAACGAAGATAAGTAAAAGCATAACATGAGGTATATACAGAAGTAACATTCCAACTGATCAAGACAACCAAAACATTTCCAAGTACAGGAAGAAATCAGGTATTCTCTTCATAAATAAGTTTTTGGATATGATATACTATTATGCTTGGGAATGATGGGTCTTCTAAACCTCCATTGGTATATCAACCATAAGCAAAAACAAAATTGGCAATCGTTTGGTCATAACAAATAAGATTTACAGTTGGAAACACAATTTTATACATATGAAGCTTACCTTCCCACTGAACTTCTTCTCAAGTTCTCTGACTAGCCTAAGATGAATCTTGCGAAATGCTTTCCTCAATCTATAGGGAACATGAATAACAACAGCTTTGCGATTTCCAGACACATCAATTTGACTGCAAAGAGAGAATAGTTTATCATTATAACGAGCCCATATCATAAAAATTGTCGAACATATTAACCATACAGTAAAATCCTTACACTGCAGAGTTAATGTAAAGGTCTTTCAAATCACTTTTAAGCTCCAGGTTCGTATTTTCCAAATCAAATAGTGCCTGCAAAGAGAACAAGGTTTGGAAAGTTCATCATATGCTCTTTCACGCTGCAAGATACTTATGGACAAAGGCCGTAAAGATATCTTCAACAACAGAGAAAATGACCTGTGCAACTGTCTCCTCGAATTCAGTGGGTTCAGCATCCTTATCTTTGTGGATCTTCTTCCTTGAAGTGTACATTTTGACAGATCTAGTATTAACAATTGGGATAAATCAAACGTAACATTGGAGTAGAATCAGAGATCAACCTAAGAGCAAGATACTTACGCTGTGAAATGTAAATAAAATATAACTACAATTCACCTAGTTTCACACACCTAACCATGGACTGTGACGACGAAACTAAGTGATAATTCATTTGACATTACCAGAAATAAAATGAGAGAAACTAACCAAGGGCTGTGATGATGAAGCTCATGAGCTCAACCATATACATATGCATATCCTAGAGGTGTGGGCACACACTGAGCATGTGCAATTTAAAACAACCATGGAATTTATTTAAGTTTGAATCAGTTAAATCTGAAAAACTTACAGAGGTTTAAAACAGAAGAGCTATTGGATTAGAAGTATTTTAGGTATTCAAAAAACTGAGACAAAGCTTCAAAAAGTTGTGTGCTTTATATAATATAGTACAGATGCTATTGATACACACAAACATGCATATAACTGCAATGATTTCAATTCTAAATTCCTAGACAACTTGTATATTATTTACTCGCATTGCTTGACTAACCCTATCAGTTAAAATTCTTCAAACAGACAGTTACTACATCAAATAAAAACGATAAGTCATACTACATCAAATTTCTACAAATTAAAAGTTCAATCTTTCTTTTTTTCAAAGAAAATTTTCGATTTTTTTCAAATGACATAAGAAGAAGAAGAAGAAGATATCAGAAATGATCAGACTTACCGATCTAATCGAAGGCGAGGATGGAGCTACAAGCTGCTGCTGAGGAGGCGCGCAGAGAGAGACGAGAAAGATGGAAATTATGGAACCCTAGAAGATTTTATACGCCTATAGTATTTTTCTTCAGAATATTTTTTTTTTTTGAACGATCTTCAGTATACTGTATAAATAAAAAATAAAATAAATACATTGTTGTTGGGCTGGACTAGACACACATCTAAATTCCAAACTCAGCCCGTTAATTAAATGGGCCTTGGAAATTGGCCCAACTTTGTGTTATAGCATCTCTTTTTCAAACTCAAAAAATAAAAATAAAGGTAAATTACGGGTCAGTTTTATGTTTTATGTGATGGATTTAAATATTTATAAGTCATTTACACTATGAGTCAAAATATCTTAAATCGTTTATTTTGCCTCATCACTTTTAAGAATATTGACAAGTAAAAAATGAATAAGACTTGTAGATAAATAAATTTGGTTAGCCTCCGTTTGGGTAGTGGGTTAGTTTTTTAGTTTTTTGGCTTTTTTGACTATATGAGCCTAGGCTCAAAAGCTTAGTTTGGGAAGGGCTTTTTGCTTTTTGGCTTTTTTGATTTTTTTTTAGAGAAGAGTGTAATGATTATGGGGTTAGATAAGATGTTTTGCCTGTTGTAGCTCATGAGCCTATTCTGTCTTTTATGGCTCATTGAGCCAAAAAAGCCCAATGAGCCCTTGCCAAACCAACCCTTAATAAAACCTGCAATAAGCTTCCCTTGAAATGGGCCAACAAGCCAATACCCTGGCTAGGGTTTGAATTTAGAGAACAAAGATAGAATTAGAAATAGTGTAAAAATCTAAAAAGGAATTATTAAAAAAAAGAGTTCAGCTTGTCTCAAGTTGAGATCAAGACTGAATCCATTCAGTTCGACCCATGGGGTCCATTTTGGGCCCGTTTTGATAATCCAAACGCTGAATGTGTAGAACTCGTTGAGTACTACATGCTTGTAAAAAATCACGTTGATCGGATATCAATAGCTATGTGATCAAATCAATTTTGTATAAAAAAAATGGACGGTAAAACAATTAACAGTTGATAAAAAAATATTTTGTTCACATAGTTATCGATATCCGATCGACGTGATTTTTTACAGACATATAGTACTCGACGAGTTCTACACATTGAACGGTTCGGATTATCAAAACGGGACCCATGTTGAGCCTCCACAAGCCCAACAATACGGTCCAATCCGATCTTAGACTAGAACAATGTCACTGCCTAAAAAAAAAAAAAGAAGCTTAACTTTATTTACATAACAAAAATCGCACATTACATCCCTAATTTTTTTAATTACATTTTTATTTCTATTTAAAACTACCAAACTGCACTAGAAATTTGAGCCTGAAATCTCTTGAAGAGAAGTTTCAATATTAAAAGCACATAAAAAGATAGATTATGTCTCTGGCTCAATGACATTATTCTAATGGATTTGTGTCACTTTCATTCTTAATTTTTTAGTTTTGACACATTTGATTTTAAATTTTAAATTTTAAATTTTATTTTATATTTTAAATAAGAGCAATTGAAAATAATATTGCTCAATTTCAACGACAAAATACTTAATTTGATAAAAATATATACTAATTTGAAAAAAAATAAATGTCAAAAAAATTATTTTTAAATTTTAAAAAAATTATTTCTACTCACTAAAAATATAATTATATAAAATTAATCAATTTTTTACACATTTATTTATTTATTTATTTACCAAATTAATTTTTATTATGTGTTTGGATGATAATCATGTAATGGGACAGTTGTTTTTATTTTCATTAAATTAGTTTTTATTTTTTTAAAAATCAAATATGACGATAACTTTGATATCATTATTAAACCAATTCATTAAATAAAAAAATCCAAAAATATAAATATTTCATGTATTAGGCCAAGTTTGGGAAGACTAAATAAGTGCACTTTTTGTCTTTTTGGACTAAAAAATTGAGATTGAAAATATGGATGTTTGGGTTAACTTTTTGACTTTTTATGGAAAAATGTGTAATAAAAAATTGTAAAAATTGGTTTGTAGAGGAAAATTTGAATTGGGAGTTGTGCAGCCGTAATTGTTGACTTTTGGTGAATAGTGTTAACTTTTTAACTTTTTGAGTAACTTTTTGACTTTTTGGCTTATTTGGGACTTCCCAAACTTAGCCTAAATGTATCGATTATACATTAAAAACCTAATAACCACCAATTACGTGATCATTATCTAAATACAAAATAAAAATTAATTTGGTAAAATAAATAAATAATGTAAAAGATTTATCAATTTTACATAATTTTATCTTTGGTGGGCAAAAATAATTTTTTTAAATTCGAAAATATTTTTTTGACATATATTTTTGTCAAATTAGTTTATATTTTATCAAATTAACGACTTTACCCTTAAAATTGAGCAATGATATTTTCAATTGTCCTTATTTGAAACAAGATTCAAAATTTAGGATCAAATATGTTACAATTGAAAAGTCAGGACTAAAATGATACGAGCCCCAAACTATATGGACTGTTAGTGTAATTCGCCCTTCCAACATTATCATTTGAGAAGTAGAGAGTTTAAACTTCACTAAAGACAAGGTTAGGTTGTATAATTAATGTTTGGACGATTTATACTAATGGTTTTTATAATTTGAAACTTGTATCGTTTTGATTCATGATCTTTCAATTGTGATACATTTGATTCTAAATTTTGAATTTCGTTCTAAATAATAACAATTGAAAATATTATTACTTCATTTTAAGAGCAGAATCTTCAATTTGATAAAATATAAATTAGTTTGACAAAAATAAATATCAAAATTTTATTTTTTAATTTTTAAAAATTATTTCTCCTCACCAAAGATAAAATTAGATAAAAATGATGGTAAGTCGGACCCCAACTTCCACGTTGGGTTATACTTGAACTCGATGGCATTTTATAGTGGGAACGAGTCGTTGCTCTGCAAAGTATTCCCCTCATCCTTCGGGGAGATTCCATCAGATTAGTTTCACAAACTACCAAAGAGAAGTGTGAAGACCTGGGAAGGCCTGGCCGAGATATTTGTGGCCAAGTTCGTGACAAACAAGCTGCAGCCATTAAGGGTGGACGCATTAATGGCTCTGAAGATCAGTAAGGAAGAAGGCCTTAGGGCCTATGCAAAAAGATGCTATAAGGTGTTCAACTGAATACCAGAGTGTAATCAAGAGGTGGCGGTCGTATCTTTCAAGAACGGCCTGAAAGACAACTGTCCACTACGAAAATCTTTGACAAATACATTGCCAAAAAGCATAGAAGAGCTCATGGTGAGAATCGAGAAGTATGTCAGAGCTGAGGAAGACACGTCGGGGATTAGGGAGACAAAACAGGAGAAGGGAAACGGCTCGCCGAAACGAGGTCGAGGTAACAATGGATTAAGCAAACAAGAGACAGAACTGAGGGCTCACAAGCAATGATAACTGTGTTCCATATCCCAATTCACAAAGTCCTGGATCAAATTCGGAATCAACCCTATTTCAGAACACCAGTAAAGGCACCAGGAGAATTCATGGGAATAAACCTTGGCAGGCATTGTACCTACCACAATGAAAACGAGCATATGACTCAGGGCTACAGAGCCCTGAAAACACACCTGGAAAACCTGGTGAGGCAAGGCCATCTGAGAGACCTTGTCGATGAGGCCAGAACAAGGGAAGAACAGGCAAGATTGCCTCAAACAACAGCAGCTTCACCTCCCCCAGCACAGCAACCTCAAGCAGGAGGATCTTGGGTGATTAATGTAATTCACTCGAAGGTCAGTGAAAACGAGATCAGGAGGGAGACCCAGAAAGTGAAGCACTTGCAACATGTCTACCAAGTCGGGAAGAAGTGACATCGGGCAGAGGATTATCAAGGACCAGTAGTGTCATTTTCTAAAGCCGACCTTGAAATGGTGCAGCACCCGCATAATGATGCATTGGTAGTAGCCCTCCAGATTGGGAAATGCCAAGTAAAGAGCATCTTGATTGACCAAGGAAGCTCTTGTGACATCATGTACGTTCGATGTTACAAGGAGCTTGGACTTCACCCAGACGATATGAAGCAATCCAATAGCCCAATGGTCGGGTTCAATGGAATGCTGACATGGCCACTGGGAATAACCAGTTTGGAGGTGCAGGTAGGCATCAGGAAGATAACAACAGAGTTCACCGTGATTGACACACCCTCCCCTTACAACATCATTTTGGAAAGGCCATGGTTGCATGCAATGAGGGTTGTTCCCTCAACTGTGCATCAACTATTGCGGTTCCCAACAGAGTATGGGATCGAGGAGGTTAGAGGAGATCAGATGCAGGCAAAGAATTGCTCCATGGCAGCAATGAAATCCACCTGCAGCATTCGAAAACCAGAGAAGGCAGAAATTAAAAATGAGGACGTGGAGGTCCTAGAGGATGTCTGCAAGGAGCCGGCCGAAAAGAGTGAAAAAACACTAAAGAAAATCCTCGTCCAAAAGGGAGATGAAGAACACTTCTTTCTTCTCGGCTCGGGCCTAGCCGAAGAGGAAGAAAGAGAGATGGAAGCCTTTTTTAGAGCAAATATTGAGGTGTTTGCTTGGACACCTTATGAGATGCCTGGCATTGATCCCGAGGTCACTTGCCATAAACTGAATGTTGATAGGTTGGTAAAACCAGTGATTCAACGAGTAAGAAGACCGACGTTGATACACATTGAAGCAGTGGAGGAAGAAGTAAACAAACTTCTCGAGGCCAGGGCCATTCGAGAGGTAAATTATCCGACATGGCTATCAAACACAGTAGTGGTGAAAAAGAAGAACGGTAAATGGAAGGTCAGTGTGGACTTTACCAGCCTGAACAAGGCATGTCCCAAAGACAATTTTCCTCTACCCAAGATTGACCAGCTGGTAGACGCCACTTCGGGGCATGAAAGGATGAGCTTCCTAGATGCTTACAGGGGATACCATCAGATAGCCATGTATCCCCCAGATGAGGAGAAGACTGCATTTATCACCCCAAAGGTCTGTACTGTTGCAGAGTGATGCCTTTTGGGTTAAAAAACGCAGAAGCGACTTACCAAAGACTGGTAACCAAGATGTTCAAACACCTGATTGGCAGAACGGTGGAAGTCTACATCGATGACATGGTCGT